GGGCCGTTTTCATTGCAGGGAGGTTTACTAAAAGGAGGTTTGTCCACCGCCGAGAGAATCGCCGAGCGCGTTCCACTACTCGCAAAGTGCCTACTCGCAAACGTCCGAACAACGCATGTCCGATTTCGCTGTCATTCAGGGTCGATCCCCCGCGGTGGATCCCGGCCACTTGCGAGTAGTGGAACGCGCTCGTCGAGAGAAGGCCTCCTCCTTCCCCCTTCCCCCCCCCTGGTGGGCGGGGGGGGGCGCCCTCCTGCAGGGGTCGGCGGCGCGAGGGCGCGAAGGCAGCCGCGCACCGCGGGGGGTGCCATGCGCGCAGCTGGGCGGCCTGGCTCCTTCGGAGGCCGCCCCCTTCGCCGGGGCTCGTGCCGAGATTCCGTCGCTTTGCTTCGACTTCGGCTTCGATGGCCTCCGATTCCGATTCGATCCGGCCTGGGATTCCGACTTTTGGGCTCCGATCTTCCTCGTTGGAGGCATGCCAGCCTGCCGATGTCCGCCGATTCCACCTTTTCCCGACTCGGCTGCCGATTTCCGCCGATCCGAGGTATTTCGATCGCCGATCCGACTTAGGAGGAGGAGGAGAAGGAGGAGGAGTAGGAAGAGAAGGAGGAGGAGGAGAGGGAGAGGAGGAGGAGGAGAGGGAGAGGAGGAGGAGGAGGAGGAGGAGGAGGAGGAGGAGGAGGAGGAGGAGGAGAAGATTCTGGGCTCTCCTGCTCCGCAGCCTCGCTCCGGCCGTCCGCGAGAGCCCCGGCGAGCGGCGGACACGGCGATACCGTCCGTAGAGAGCACCGGGTGGCGTCGCCTCCGCTCGGGTCGAGGCCAGGCGCTCGGCGCGCGCCGGTCACGCCCCCCGGGGCTCTAGCAAATCGGTGCTTTTGTGGGCGACCGCGTGGGCAGCTTTTGTGTTGATGCCGTTCCGCAGCAGAGGCAGAAGAGAACGAGTGAACGGAACGAAAAGGCATGCGAAAAACACTGCTTCGCTCGAGCCCTGCCACGCCCTGGTCGTTTTTTTTTTTTTTTTTGTCCCTCTCTCTCTCTCTCTCTCTCCCCGCCCGCAGCCTGGCTCCACCCTGGGCAGACGGGGGCCCCGGCGGGAAGGAGCCATGGCGGCCCCACGGCCCGCTTCCCGCGCAGAGGTCGGCCAGAACATCGCCGCCGCGGCCGCGGCAGGCTTTGTCCAGCCGGGGCTCTTCTCGGCGGCGAGCGAGGGGGGGGAAGTGAGAAGGAGGGGAGGCCTCCTCAGAAGGCGGCGGGGCGTCTCAGAAGCCCTCGCGCCCTCTGAGAAGTCGTCCGCGTCTTCGGGGAAGGCTCGGAAGACTTGTCAGAAAGCCGGAGGACTTCCGAGCCTTCTGAGAAGGCCCGCCCCTTCGCGCTGCCCCCCTGGCTCGCCGCCGATCTTCAACCCCTTGGACTGCCTGAGGCTGCGCTGGCAGGTTGCCTCGCGCCAGGACGCGGAGTGCCTGCGGGCGTTCGCGGCAGACCCTGCCTGGACCTCCCATGCGTCACGGGCCGCGTGAAACTGCGGTGGCCCGTTTTCCCGGGCGCGGGGGCCTTCGGAGGCCCGTCCTTCGGGCCCTGGGACGGCCCGGGATTGGACGCTGGTCCCAGGGGGACGGGGTCGAGAGTTCTGCGGGGGGCCACGCGGTGAATATGCATGGCGTCAGAGGTCCGGGCTGGCGGCGCGCAAGAGGGAGCAAGGGGCGGTGGCAGACAAGGAGGGAGGAGCATCGCTTCTCGGAGGTCCCCCCTGACGCAGGAGTGCGGTGGGTTCGCGTCGTGTCGACTCGCCGCGACCTCGCCGCGGGGCGTTCACGGTTGAACGCCGCCAGTGGCCCCAAATCGGCCCAATATGGAACGATCTGGCAATCGACAAGCCGCCGATCGTTCAAGGTTGAACAATCTAGGCGATGTTAGAAACCAACACTAGGGTCGTCACGACACGAACCCGCCATATGAGGCCGTCTGGCAGAGGCCTTCGCGAGGAGAACGTAGTGTGACGAGGCGCCGTTGTGCCCATCACCCTGGCCTCGCTCGCGCTGGGTCCGGGTCCTGCCCGACAGAGGATGCTGGGCTATTGCGAAGGCCTTACGGCCGATGCCGCCGACCCTGGAGACGACCCTGTCGTCTGGGCGCGCCAGCCCTCGCGGATCGGACGGTGGCTGCGAGGCGCTGTCGGACGTCGGAGGCGTTGGAAGCGCGCTTGCCGCGCTCGGGAAAGTGTCCCTCCTCCGTTCTGTGATGGTGAGGAGGAGGAACAGGCGGAGGAGGAGGACAAGGTCGACGAGGAAGGAATACCCGGTTGTTTTGTAACTTCCTAGTTTGTTTTGTAGCTTCCTAGGAGAGTTTTTGGGGCCTCTCGGGGGCCTCTTGGGGCCTCTGTGGGCTTCCTGGAGGGCCTCTTGGGAGCTTCTCGGGGCTGAGGGCTCGAAATGTGCGTTCGGGTCCCCCGTCTGGGCGCTCTCTTGGAACCGTTTTGGGGGCCTTTTGTGGATCTGGGAGGCGTTTTGGGCCGTCTTGGGGCACTTTTGGGCCGTCTGGAGACCTTCTCGGAGGCCTCTTGGGCCGTGTCGGGGCGATCTTAGGAGCCTCTTGGGCCGTCTTGGCGCGTGGGGAAGCGGAAGAGGCGAAAACGCCACAAATCCTTGAAACACGTATGGGAAATCCATGATTTGTACCTCTTGGGGCTCTCGTGGGAACGGTCCTGGAGGCCTCTTGGGGCGTCTCGCAGGCCTCTTGGGCTGTCTGGGGGCCGTCGAGGCGTCTTGGACAGATCATTCGGCGATTCGGCGCCCTCTTGGATCGTCTTGGTGGCCTCTCTGGGCACTCTTGGCCCGTCTTGGGACTTTTTTGGGCTCCGGGATTCCCTAGGGGGCGGCGTAAAAACCCGGGACCCCCCCCCCGGGACCCACCCCGGGGGGCGGCGCAAAAACCCGGGCCCCCCCCGGGACCCCCCCCCCCTGGCGGGGAAGGGATCAAAGGGAAGGGGCTTCCCTTCGACTCAATTACGACGTTGCTCAATTTCGCCGAGGAGGGAACAGACGGGGAAGCCTCCTCCACACGCCGACAGGGTCGGCGGATTTTCAGGAAAACTCGAGACTCGAGTAAGCCGGGACTCGTGTTTGCCAGCGTTTTTGACGAGCGCGTCCTGGATTTTGACGGTCCAGTTTTCGCGGGATGTTTGCAGCGGGAGCTCGCGTCAAATTTCAGATTGGGTCTCGTCATTTTTATGATGGCCCCGTCAGGCCAACCCGAGTCCCCCGTACCCGAGGCTTACGTCCCCCAGATATCTTCACAGCACCGAGTGAGCAGGACAGGGCGCGCTGGGGGATAACTGCAGTGGAGGCCCATGCCAAGAAACACCGTGCTCGCCTCCAGGGTGCCCTGGGTTTCTTAAGTTTCGATGGTCTTGCGATGGAAAGCGTGACGTTCCCACACCAAAGATCCATGGACGTCCTGGGGTCTCAGGGTTGGGTTTCTTGTGGAAGGGTTCGTGTGGTCGGGCCCCTATGTACTGATACGCACCTCCCGCCTGTGCTCCAGGTTTTTCCCGGATGTCAATCTCCCTCAGTTTTTCCCGTATCAGCTTTTGCCGATTGCACATGTTGTCCAGCACTATCCCGGCATAGGAGTTGTCCCAGATCATCGTTGATGAGCCTTCCCGGGCGCGCCAAACAGGGCCCTGCATGGACCATGCTTTTCCCGGATCATTCGGATGCCCACTATCTGTTCGCAATCGCTTCCGAGAGGGCGCGGGACCGGCGGCGTGGGAGGGGACAAAAAGCGCAATAATCCTTCAAGAGAGAACATCGACGGAGCCTCTGGAACGCCAGTCGTGCTGGGACCTGATCTGACCTCCGCTTACAGGGATTCGGCCTGGCCGTCGAGAGGACCCCATCCAAGAACCGAGACATGAATAAGATTTGAAAAACGTGAACTTCCGGAGGTCCACGCGAACTTCTCGGGTCGGGGACGTGCCCCCCCCCCCCCTGGCGGCGCCTCCGACGCCGCCCCGTTGCGCGCTTCGCGCGCCAGGGGAAGGGGGTGGGGTGCAGCGAAGGCCCGGGAAACCCGCGTGGACGTCAGACGGTTGCCCCAAAGCAGTGTTTGCACTTGCGGGTCCTTCCTTTTGTTTCCAAGCACCTGGGTGGGTCCGCCGCGGTTTCGCCACGTTCTCGCCCGTGCCGCCTCGTGGGCTCCCCGTGCCCGAAGTGGTTCACATTGTTCGCACCACGCAGCTCACGCCGCATAGCTTACAGAACATCGCTCACACCACGCACACGTTATACCTCACAGCTTGCAACGCACAGCTCACACATAGCTGGCACGGCATAGCTTACGCAGCACAGCTCACAACATATGTAGCATACAACATAGCTTGCAGCACGTAGCTCGCACCACATTGCTTACACGATCTGGCCTACTTTGCATAGCTTTCTCCCCACAGCCCCCTCCTTTCTTCCCACATCTTCCTCCTCGACAGTAGAATGACTCACTGCTTGGGGTCCACGCGTGCCCCTGGCCCGCTTCACGAGCCAGGAGAGGGGGGTGTTCAGCGCCGGCCCAGGTCATCCGCGCGGACGCCCGACAGTTTCTGCTCACTGCTTCGCTTCCTCCTACAGAAGCGCCCCCCTATGTCCCGAGAAGGCTCCCCGCCCCCCCGCGCCGCCCGCGCCCCCATCATGCGCGCCGCCTGCAGACGTCGTGCGGCGGGAGGGCTGGTGGGGCGGCCTGCATGGCCCAGGGCTCTGGCTGAACATGTGGGCGGTGGCGGCCTCCCAGGGCCTGCGCAGGGAGCGACGCAGGGGGAGGGCGCCGACTGCGCGGGCACTGGCGCGTGAGCTGCACGCGCCAGGTCGCGGGCAGGCGCTGTGGCGCCTGCGCGCGACCTGACGGGCCGCTCACGCTCAGCCACGCGCAGAGGGGGGTGGGGGGAGGGGGGAGGGCTTCTTTGAAGCACCCCTGCTCAGAAGGAGTGGGCCTTATCTGTAGATGCAGGGCTGCCGCCTTCCAAGAAGCAGCCTCCTTCTAAGAAGCCCTCCCCTTCCCTCCTCCCCCTTGTGCGCGGGCGACGGCTCCGCGGCAAGCCGAGCGGAAGAGGCGGCAACACCATCGCTTCCGCGCGGCGTGCCGCGCTGGCGGGCATGTGTGACCAGTCGCGTCGGCCCCCGCGGCCTCGGGCGCAAGAGGGGCCCGCTCCCTCCGCGTCGCTCGCCCAATGGGGCTGTACCCCTCCGTCCGGGACAGCCTGCTGCCCCCAGCGGGGCGCGCCGAGCGTGGCGCCGCTGCCGAGGCCTGGCGCTCGTCCGTCATGGTGCTCTCAGGCTTCCTGTCGGGCGCCCTGGCCTACGTGGTGGCGACGCCCCTGTGGCTGCTGAAGACGCGGGCGCAGACGGCGGCCCAGCTCCACAGCGAGGGCCGTGCGCCGTCCAGGGAGGTCATCCTGCCGCGGACCGCGCGGGGGTACTACCGGGGGGCCGGCCCGCTCGTGCTCCGGGGGGCCCTCGTGACAGCGGGGCAGATGTTCGGGTACGACTACGCGAAGGGGTCATTGAAGGGCGCGGGCCTGCTGGCGGACGGGCCCGCTCTGCATGTCGTCGCCGGAGCCGCGGCGGGCTTCTGGGCCTCGACCTTGTCCGCGCCGGCCGACGTCGTCATGACCAGGTACCAGATGATGGGCAAACTTTCCACCACCGCTGCCACATGTAGGGCGGGAGAGAAGGGGGGATGAGGAGGTCCTCCTCCTCCTCCTCCTCCTCCTCTTCCTCCTCCTCCTCCTCCTCCTCCTCCTCCTCCTCCTCCCTCTCCTGCCTGTGCCGGTGGTGGTGGGAAGTGGGTCCATCCGCCAGAGCCCCGCAGCCGTGGAGCCGAGCCTGCCCGCGTGCGTGGCTCTGGTGTGGCGAGAGCCGGGGCCTCGCAAAGAGGGGGGGGGCACAGGGGGGCCGGACGAAAGGGGGGCATTTTTTCCTTCAAACAAGCAATCCTCGCGGCCATGCTTGGTTAATCATTCACTTCGTGGAGCTCCCCATAGGTGCATCTCATGTTTTATATTATGCCGTAGTGAGCGTCTGTTCATGAGCGTTTGACTATAATAGCCCGTCCACGTTGGCGACAGGCCCGACGAAGACGAGTGCATCCTGATGCGAGTGAGTGAGTATGAGTCAGAGTGAGCTGAGTATGATTGAACATGAGCCTCTTCATCTTCACTCTCCCTCCTCAGCTGCCAGGCCGTGCCCTCCTCAGCCTGCGGTAACTTCGGGGCTTCCAGATGTGCATACTCTTACTCCTCCTCCTCCTCCTCCTCCTCCTCCTCCTCCTCCTCCTCCTATTCCTCCTATTCCTTCTCCTCCTCTTCCTCCCCTGTAACTCTCCTCCCCTCCTCCTCATTCTCCTCCTCCTCCTCCTCCTTCTCCTCCTCCTCCTCCTCCTCCTCCTCCTCCTCCTCCTCCTCCTCCTCCTCCTCCATCCTCAAAATCTGCTATGAAAGCCAAGGATGTTGAGAACGAAAACTAGCAAACCGCCTGAGACATCCCCACAAACTGGCCGCGAACGGGCCCGTGATATACCCCCTGGCGGCTCCCCTTAGGGGTGCTGAAGCCAGCGCCCCGCCTGAGACATCCTCACAATCTGCTATGAAAGCCAAGGATGTTGAGCACGAAAACGAGCAAACCGCTTGAGACATCCCCACAAACTGGCCGCGAACGGGCCCGTGATATACCCCCTGGCGGCTCCCCTTAGGGGTGCTGAAACCAGCGCCCCGCCTGAGACATCCTCACAATCTGCTATGAAGGCTAAGGATGTTGAGCACGAAAACGAGCAAACCGCCTGAGACATCCCCACAAACTGGCCGCGAACGGGCCCGTGATATACCCCCTGGCGGCTCCCCTTAGGGGTGCTGAAACCAGCGCCCCGCCTGAGACGTCCCCACAATCTGCCGTGCGTTGAGGAACTCAGACTATGAGAAGGTCTGAGTATGTGTGGGTCTGAGTATGAGTAAGTCTGTGTGTGAGTACGTCTGGGTATGAGAAAGTCTGAGTATGAGTCAGCCTGTGTATGAGTAAGTCTGTGTATGTGTACGTCTGGGTATGAGTGAGTAAGTCTGGGTATGAGTAGGTCTGAGTATGATAATGTCTGAGTGTGCATAAGTCTGTGTATGAGCAAGTCTGGCTATGAGCAAGTCTGAGTAGAGGAGGAGAGGAGGAGGAGGAGGAGGAGGAGGAGGAGGAGAAGGAGGAGGAGAGGAAGTAGGAGGCGTCCAAGTAATAATTATTCACTGCGTGGAGCTCCCCATATGTGCATCTATTCGCATGGACCTGTCCGCCGTGAATGTCTAGGCGCAAG